GCGGTTTCATGGCCCCGTGTTCCAATTTTTCACGACTTCCTAGACATCCCCATTTCGACCTCTACTTGAGCATTAAGTTATAATTATCACTCGCCTTAAAGCCCAAGTCGAATAAATTAGAAAGAATAATGCTCACCACATAGATAGAATGTATAACAATCAGAATTTGTCCGCTGTATATGTATCTTAATGACCCTCATTCTTTTGGCGGTGGAGAGGGAAAATATCCAAATAGCCGAGATGCCAAGAAAAATAACATAAAAATTGCCACAAAATATTTTCTAAATATTTGTATTTAGCGCAAGTTAAATAATCAGACAGATTACCAAAAACTGAACAACAGCACAAACTACAGATCCAAAACCGCCAGCGAAAATTGCCAAACAAATGTCTACAATTTTTGACAAAATTCTAGCAATTCATAAAAATTAACATCATTTTGTATGATTTTCCTAAAAAAGATTTCGTATCAAGAATTGCAATATATATTTTTAAAAAGTTTAAAAGTTATTTTAAAAGTTACAGTTCTTTATTTAGCTTACTAAAAAATATTAAAAGAAATTAAATTTTATTTTCGAAAAACATTTGCATGGATTTTTTGAACGCCCACTGCTATAGTTTTCACTGAGCAGAAACTACTCTTGAATTTTCTAGTATATCTTAATGTACATACACATGCAGCAGCAACAAACACCTGTAGCCGCGAATCGACAAGGTTGCTCCTGATTTAGGTGGTTTTTCCTGGCAACATTGCAAGCAAATGCCGCTAAGCTCTCAATTTTTCATCCTACAATGTTGCAGTTGGGTGGCGTTTTCCGTGGGTGGCTCTTAACCTGGTGCACCTGTTTGCCCATTGAAGCGTTGAGTTCACCCAGCCAGCTTGTTGTCATTTCCCAGGCAAACACGTAACTTTCCACATCAAACTTAAATTATGCAAATGTTTGCTCTAAGCGGGCGAAAAAGAGAAATTTCGGCGCTGGGTGGATCACAAAAAAAAAGGGAGGGGCGAATCAAAGGCAAAAGTTAAAACGAGACGTTGCAAATGGAAAAAGTATGTACACAATACAAATTATGCAACAGAATATTTTCCGAAAAATTCACAAAAGTTAAATTGAAAAGTTTGCAGAGCTGAATTAAATGTGGTTAAATTAAATGCATGCATTTCAAAGGCAATTACTTTGCTTTGGTTGGATATGGCACAGAAAAAAATTATTGCTACATGTTTAAAATTTAGTAATGAAATGTTTTAAAATAATTATGATAGAATTTGAATACCGAATATATTATTTATTTATTTATTTTTAATGTCAAAAAGAGAGTTCAACTTTTACTTGCAGTGCAGAGATTCCCCCTAGTTAACAAAGATATTTTTCTAATTGCAAAATATTTGCTTATTTTCCACACTTTTCCGCTGCAGAGCTTTGGGGCTCTGAATTTGGTGCATTCAAAAAATGTCATCTAATTAATTGAATTAAGTCGACAACTGTCATGGAAAGCATTCGGCCAAGGACCTTCGTTTCAACCCCCTTTCGCCCCTCGTGATTTCTTTTTCATCAGCATTCCTTGCTTTACTGAACCTAATTAATTTTCGAATAGATACTCAACTCAATGTCCCGCTGGTCTTTTGTTTGCTTAGACCAAAATAGCTGAAATATTTGTGAAACAGAAACAAAGTGTTTGTATTTATTTTGGCCGAATATGACACATTTTAAATATCTGCGCTGCTCTACTTGCTTCTAATTGTTTGTTGAGCTTTTCGGGGGAATTCGCGCGGGGCAAAGGTGAGTGGGTGACAAATGCCCCAGAGTTCGCAATTGTGACAGATCCAAATGACGGCGATATTCTTGGCCTGACAGCTGCTGTTTTGGATGCTCGTGTGGTGCTTGCAGTCATTCAAAAATATCGTGAAAAACCCCTAGTGACGTGCGAAAAACGCAAGAATTTTAACTAAATTGTTTGACCACTTATTATTCCTTTGTTGATCGCCATAAAATTCATTTTTAATTTGCATCAATAAAATGAGAATTAAATGAAATCTACTATCCTTTTCCTGAGTAATTTCAATTACGAATACTGAAAGGATGAGCAATAAATCAAATCTAAATACCATAAATTGCTTATTTAAATTGCTCTGATTAATTTAAAATTCCTTAATCAAAAGAAAATCGGTAATTTGTATTACCATTTTTGGTTAGCTCTGCTTAGATGGTTTTTAATCATTATTATGTTATTTTTTGTCCACTCAGCCTTTGGCGTCATCGGCAAGCGGATTACCTGCTAGCACAATTAAGTTTTCGGCACGTAAATGAATCATTCGAATGGCTTTTATTTTGCTTTCCTTGCTCTCGCCTTTCCCGCTTTTCCGCGCTCTCTTACTCACTCTTAATTTTCATTTCCATCGCTTTGCGGGGGCGAACGTTGCGCATACGCCCCGTTGTACGGCCGTCGGCTCGTGTTGTGTGCAATTAATAAATTTAATTAAGAAATAATGCACAGGCCGCGGGACGACTGGGCGTCGTCGTCTTGTGTCGCTCTTTCAAGTGTGAAAATTATGATTATTTTCTATACATCATTTTTGTTATTACGGGAAATTTAAAATGTAAAATAAAGTAGAATTTATACCTCGCCGCCGGCGCTTTAAAACTATTTGGCTTAAATCATAAATCAAAGTGTGCGCTGTGCTGCTGTTGCTGCCCCACTAAGTTTTTAATTAAATCTCAATTGCCGCACCATGCATCACCGCATTTAATCCGGCCAGTATACAAAGTATTCTATAGATTTTTGTTCATGGCCAAAAACATGTACGAAAACAGTTTTAAATAATTCACAATGGAATTTCCGATGTGATTATTGTAATCGAATGTGTTCCACGTTTCGCATGGACTGGTGCAGAAATTCCCATTTCTCTGTGTCCCCCAAAATGCAGTCACATAATTCAGTCGAAATGACCCGTAGCACACGACACCGCCTGCCAAGAAGTGTTTTTGCTTTTCCCCTTAATAGCTATTGTAATGCCCATGACTGTATGTGCGAGTGACGTGCGGTTTTGGTTTGCTGCATTGGCGCTGCGCCTGCTTTTGGCTGCCAGTGGGCAGCTGGCGGTCAAAAACACAGCCGCCCGCCTAGCAACAGTTTGCCACACCACCAGGTGGGTGGTTGTGGGTGGTTGCCTTGTGGTGGCTGCATCTGCAGTTGCATTTCCACTAAATAAATGGGGTGCAATTAGCCAGGACCGACCTGGAAAACCTTTAAGAAGTGAGCAACAGGAAATGGTTAATAGTCTACCTTGCTTAAAAACACAGACGAACAAATATTTATGTATTCATTCTTAAGTTAACCAACTATTGATTTTAAAATTATAAAAAATAAATCATCACATTTATGTATAAAATAGTAGATTTTACAAATTTTAAATAGATTTAAATGCTTGTAAAAGCCTTAACTAAAATTTAATTAAAAATTGGTAATTATTTTAAACTTTTATCGCTATTGTGTTTTTCTTTACATTTTCTTATCTGGGAGAAAACCTAAACTATTGAATTTTCATATGCAAATTAACTTTAAAAGTATTAGTTTTAGATAGAATTAATCTGAACATGCATTTATTATCATAGAAAACCTCTAATTAAAAATTAAAATTTATGTCCCTACTTATTTTTTTGCAATTAACACGAGGTTATGTGAACTGTTTCTTTTATTAGTATAGAATAAAATTTACTACAGCATTTATCAAATCTTAAAATTGTCAAAGTTTTGTATTTCACATAGCTTTGTGGGAAATAGTTTTTGTTTTAAGTGCGCTTAGTATCACTTAAATGCTTTTTGGCAGCCGAAAACATATAAAGAATATTTTACAGCTTAATTAAACGTTTAAGTACTATGAGTACAAACACTTTGGTTTACTGCCCGTCTGCGATAATTTAGAATAATTTGATTATTTTAGTTTAATCACTGTCAGAACAGAATATTGTGTTTCAAATTGATTTGTTTTGGCCTTTGGGGCCTTGAAATAGTTTCGAATCGCTCGGCTAATTTACTCGAGACTCTAGAGTCCTGCCAATTGACCAGCCCACCAAAACGGCGACCAACTAGACCACCTCAACCTCAACCCGTCAGATCGCAGTTCATCATCCCGTGAGGAGAAGATGCGGCCATGCCAAAATAATGCATAATTTCCCACACACACATCGTTTTTTTTATGGCTTGAATTTTTGGGCTTGCAGTTTTGAGTCATCGCCCGCCGTCGACTTATTGCGAAACTATGCGAACTGCAAAATTTCACTGGCTATTTTTATGGTCCTTATTGTGTTGGCATGCGCTGAGTGGCCAATAATATTTGCAATTATTTATTTCGGCGCTCGAGAGGCGGGGGGTTATTGCCAAACCGTTGAAACATGCGCCATGAATAATTCTCTACCCAGTGACAGCCCCTTGAATTTTCCTTCCCCCCTTTGCACAATGTGCGGAACGTGCGAAAAACTTTTATGTTCTAAAGATTTTGCAACTTTGAACTTTCGCGGCGACGCGAACATGACGAAATAATTGCAATGGCAATCGCAGAAACTCTTGCAACACACGCCCAACATTTGCTAGCAATTAATAAATTGAGGTCCTTCTTTTTTTTTTTGGTTTTTGCCCGCACTAGTATTCGTATTTTGCAATGTTTATGAATGAAAGTACTCGTTTTCATCTCAATTGGTGTCCAATAAATTGCAATCACACTCGTGCGAGTGCTAATTAATTTGTAGATCAAAAATTATGATTAGGGGCTAGCGAGCTGCAGCTGCTTTCGTGTTTTTTTGGCAGCCTTGGAAAGTGCGTTGACCAACGCGGCGTATGCGCAATCGGTTGACAACCCACACACTCACATGCTCACCGGTCCGCAAAAGAAAATCGTTTTTCCTCCGATTCTGATTCTGATTCTGACTAGACAAATTACATGCGTCTGTATTCCTTGCCTTTCTTGCTAATTATTGTCTTCTCATTTTGTATCGTTGCAGGTGAGTTTCCTTTCTGGCCAAACGATTGGAATCCATTCGAGAGTGAGTGGAAATTTATGTTTAGTTTCGGGCACGGTAAAGCTTGCATGAGCAAATCCAAAGGATTAAATTATTATTTTTTAAAGCTTTTAAGTAGGTAATAACTAGAAATATATTAAGAAACAACGAAGTTATAATTATTGCAAAGTTTAATCCAATGCGCTCTTCACTGCGTTCCAAACTTTTGACTGAAAGTATAATATACTCTGTAAGGGTTTGAACTGTTTGATAATTTATTTTGATAATTTATTATATTAAAATCTTGAGAAGGTCACCGGTTTTTGTCATACACAAATTAAAGTTTTATTTTTATATATATAGTGAATAAATTAAAATAAACTTGATGATTTTATTAGCGATAACTATACATTTTTAAAATAGTTGTTAAAAAACAAAAAAGTGTTGAAGCTAAGACATTGATAAAAATAAAATTTTTATTTTTAATAACGAAATTAGGGAATTTCACCTGTACTTACTATATACCCAAGTTAGCGAGGGCCTTGTCCAATCATTTCTCACCTCGTTCCCAAATCGAATGTCCTCGATTTGGCCGATTTGGAGGAAGGGTATGACCGACTGGAGGCTTCTTTATAATATCACAACACAAACTTGACCGTCAGTGCTGCCAAAATTATTGTTGTGCCTGCCATTAGTATTACTTTCGGGTGTTTGGGGAAAATGTTGACGTGCAAATTGCACGGGCAAAAGTTTTCCCAATTTTCGTGTTGATTTTTTCTTGTTTGCCGTCTGGAAAGAGCGACGTACGTCATTAGGAGCTGCAAAATATTGCTGCTTATGCTGTTTGTTTGTTTGTTTTAGCAACGCGCGCTGTTTAATCGGAGAGAGAGAAAAGCCGATCCACGATTTCTCCATTTTGCCATGAATAATTCATCTCTCTCCGACTGCGTATGTTCAATGTTTCATGCATAATTAAGCATTTTTGCAATTAAATGTGTGCGCGTGTCTGTGTGTGCAGGCCGAAAGCCCAAAGCCCAAAACCAAACCCCAAAAACCTCCAACCAAAACCCTTTGAACTAAACAAACTTTACCTTGCCTTAGCGCTGAATATTTAACTAATAACTTGGCGACGTCTCAAGGAAAACTGCGAAAAGGTTCGATGGTTTGGGTGTTACTTCAAGTTTTCATAAAAGTTTCTGAGGATTAAGGTATAGTCACAAAACTTTTTGATATTAAATAAAATTATAGCTTGTTTAGTCATTAAATATTTAAAGTACATTATTCAAAGACGAAAACTTCTGAACTGTTTAATAATTAAGTGTAGCTTAACTCTGCGATCTTAGACGCTATTTAAAAACACAAATCCCTTTTCTTCCTACAAATTAACTACCATCAGGAAGAAGACAACGATACCTACCAAAAATATCAGATGATTCGCACATAAACAATGTGAGACTTTAAATTGCTAGAATCTTGATGATTTTATCTAGATTTTTCCTGTTGCCGCTTGGATACGAACCTATGCTGTTGTGATAAAAACACAACAACACAATGAAAATATTTAGCCCTGAATTGTTTGCCAAAAAATGTTCATTTTCATCTCCTTTATGCTTCTTTTTTCATTTTTTTTTTTCTTGCCTGCTTATTATGTCTTGTTTTTTTCGCTCTTTCTACCATTTTCTGTTGTTTTATTTTGTTTTGCCGGCAACAATAGAATAGAAGGCAACAACAATGGCAAATTGAATGTACAAAACTAAACATAACACACAAGCAGCTTGCCTGCGTCCGAATTTATACGTATATATATACTATATATATAGTATTTTTCACACAATAATGTGTAGAAAAACTTGCGAAATATTTTCCACTTGGCACGCAACATGGCCAAAAGTCGTGTGTATTTGTGCATTTTACACTTTTAATTTTATTAATTTTTAATACGACTTTGCTTAGATTTGATAAAATCAGAAGTGGTTGTGTGGATCTGGAGAAACTGTTGAATGCCTTTTTTTTCGGTAAACTGGTTAAAACTAGTAGGGAGATAAAATAAAATTAAGGTATTTTGTGGGAACAATTTAGATCTTGTACAGGGTATATGTTCCAGTGGCTGTAATACAGCTTTGCCACAAAATTAAACCAAATAATTAAAAAGAAAGCCAGCTGCAGTTGCCAAAAGAACCAAGGAAGCCTTCTTGAATATAAATAGTTTGCCGAAAATCTCTGCTCATGGGGGTGGATATATATGCAAATATCGTTGGGCCCTCGCCGTGCTATCATTGAAAATTCAATTTCAATTATTAGACCCGACTGTGTATGTTTGTTGTTTGGGGAATAGTTTGTGGACGGTGGCCCCCGGCACTTAAATGTCACATTTTCCTATGTGGCTCATTTTCTTGGCTCATATTTTCGCAAATTAAATTTTATTGAGCGTATCGTTTGGGCATAATTAATTTTAATTGAGGACACTACCCACACAGACGGCCACACCCTTACGAAAAACACGGTCGTTTTGGGTCTATTTATACTTATTTTGGTAGGCGGAACTCTTTTAAATAGGCTACACTGAATAAGTCTGTGAAGAATGCTCACACTTTCCCAACATTTTCGACCATCACACCTGTCTCTCATTCTCTAATTAACTTTCAATTCAATCAGTCCAGTGTGCTGGGCAAAAATGCACAACTGACCACTGCCCATTGTGTGCTCAAGTGTTACAATCCTGCAAGTGCATCCTGTGGCAGCCGCACAAGTACACTTTAGAAAAAAATGTTTAATTACAAATTGAAATTGTTTTCCAGGCAGTGCTATTTGGATTTTAGAAAGAGTTGGAAAGAAAGCTTAGAAAAATACATAGAGGATTGCAAAACTAAGTTTTAAAGTAAATTGAAATGAGGCATTAATTTATCAGAGAAAAATTCCTGTGTCAACTTCTAAGCATTTTATTTTTTAGAAAATTTCCTTGATCCTCGTTTCCATAATTTCTCTCAGTGCACACACGCATCTCACGCATGCAGCTACATAAAAGACCAGTCAACGTCAGTGGGGTCTTTGTATGCAAAACATGTCCGACAGCAGCCGAGAGCCTGCTTTTTGGGTGTGTGGGGTGTGGTGTGCACTGAGTGTGTGTTGTTGCGTGTGTGCCTGCCCAATTGACTTTTGCTGTCGAGCAATTGTTTGGTTCAGGTAGCAGAGAACGTCGCCCAGCAGCAACATCATCAGCAGCACCAGCAGCAACAGCACCAGCAGCAACATCAGCTCATCAGCAACAACTGCATGAAAACCGCAGGCATTGAGGACGACGTTGCCGCCACTCATTTGCATGCAACAGTTGAACAAAACAGCTTTAATTCAATTTCAGTTTCAGTTGCACTGCGCGCTTGGCGCTTATTAGCAGCCATTGTTTCTGAGAAGGAGCCACTGTCGACACAATCAACGCAATGAATCGCAAATATGTCAGCACACGCAGCTTAATATCATTTCTTTCTACCTGGTCAAAAGTGGAGACTTCAAAATATACCTTAAATGCAGATTGAAAAGTATAGTTTTATGTGACTGATCTTATGATACAGGGGTATGATTTTGTTTTTAGATTTTTTTCTGATAAAAAACTATAGGTATAAATTCAAAAGTGTTCGAATATAGCATTTCATCTTATTTAAAGACCCTTTTACAAAATCCAGATCGAAAAGCTGATAAAAAACAATATTTAATATTTATCCAAATTTCAGCCAAAAGTGGATTATTTTCCCATATAAAGTAGTACATAAAGTACAGATGTAGTCGCAATTTTATTTTGTAATATTCCAACATTTAAAAGTTTATTTGACAGAAAATGAATTAATTTTAATTTTTTTTAAATCAAAAGAACACTCAGTTTCTTTCTGTGCAGCGCAGAACTTTAGTTTAAAGAGTGAGAGAGAGCTCGTCACATAATGCCAGTTAAGTCGATGACGCCCACCTGTGTCACTCAGTCAGTTGGCCAGGTAAACGTCACTTGGCCATTTCCACAATCGAACAGCGCCCCCAAAACATTAGCCGCTCGACCAGTTTGACTTTTTTTATTTTTGTTCATATTCAGTTTGCCGGGTTGCTCTCAACACGCCGGACGCGATTTCAGAAGCGTTTCTATACATATACTGATAATGGCTTAATGAATCAGTTAACGATTTGTGTTATCGTGGGTTTTTGTTTACCGTCCCGATATGCCAGTGCTTTTGAAACTTAACTAAGGCCGCAAACTACACAAAAACAAAGCAAAATGTCCAAGAATAAATAAGTTAAAGTGATAAGAAGCCACACGAACGCGTTGAATCTACTGACAGGTGTGAAATTGTGTTGCACAAAATGAATTTACTTAAAATGCATTCAAGCATTAAAATCAATTAAAAAGCTTGTCACTTATAAATGAATTTGGATCCTGAATTTCTCAGAGAAATGTAGAAATTAAATTCAGAGTTTAATAATAAAAGAAAAGGAGAAGTTGAGTAGAATACTGGCAACTGAATAAGATGACCTTTAACTAACTAAAAAAACTTAAAACATGTTAAAGTTCATAAAGCGCATATCTACATCGACTAAACAAAAACAAAACAAACTAATCAATAATAACTAAGCCAAAGCGATAGCCAAAGCACTTGAGCTTATAAAATCTATTGAAAGTTGTGATAATAAATTTTATATTCCAGCTAAAGTCTTTAAAAAAGACTGAACTGTTAAAAATCTCGAACAAAATTGTAATAAAACAAACCGTTTATAAGATAAACCCTCTAACATGTATTGTTACATGTTGAACAGAAACTAAAAACTAAATCCCCCACATAAACCGAATTTTACCATGACTCATTCCATTGATAAGGCCAGAAGCCCAAAAAAAAGTAACTGATTCGACCAAAATAATATTTCCAATTTCAATGCCAGTTCGAGTAGATGTTTGGTTGATTTGTCCGATGATATTGCTCCTGAAATTTGTTATTGTTGTTCATGTTGTTTGGTTGTTTGGTTGTTGTTGCCAGCTACCTGACACTTGTCAAGTTGCGATAACATGCGAAATTTCAGGCAAAGCTTCACCAAAAAGGCAAAACCACTTTATGCATATTAAAAACTATAAAATAACGTTCGCCATAGATTGTTTTATTATATATTGTATTTATCTTTGGTTCGGCTGGCAAGTTGAAAAACAAGTTTTCACTATTATGACCAAATCGGATGAGCGCTCGTTCAGCCGTTTATTCACAAAGAATAAAGTGTTATTTTTTAAAGATAGTTCTTATATCTGAAATTTAGAATTAAATCATTAAAAAAATGTATGTTCGTCTGGAAAATGCACTAGAATTAAAGTTAGTTATGGTTTTTGTTTCTAGCCACTTTATTAAATAGCTAATAAATAAATCTTTGTGTGGATCTGATTTCCATTATAAAACAAATCATTTTTTCCCAGTGCATTTAAACGATCGACTCAGCTTCTTGGCTGTGGTGTACTACACTTTTAATTTGTGCTGCTAGTGATCGTTGGTACTAGTATTTTCCGCTGAAATGTTGTTGCTGGATGTTTTTCCCATTTAAATGAGTTTTGTCTATGACGTCTGCGTATTGTTTACAAATATACGTTTCAATTTGCAGCCCCATATACATGTACATTATACATTATACACCCACCCAGCGACACATGGCAAGCAATTTTCTGTTTGTTATTGCTCCGATGTTTCCCCCACGGATCCATTTGATTTTCCTTCCTTTTTTTGGGGGTTCTTTTTTTCGTTTCGGTTCAGTTTTTCGTATTTTTTTTTTTTTTTGGGATTCATGGCGCTTGCATAATCCTCGCTTGTCGAAGCTGTCAGCGATGTTGCCACTGCAGCTGTTATTGGCATTCAAATGAATATGTAAACGTCGCATCTCGCAGATTGTTTTCGCTAAATCGAAACAATAAACAATCGCAGTGGTCACGATTCGAGGTGCAAAAATCATCAGGTAGCACGTTTCAAATAATTTATATGCAACTGCTTCTTGTAGGCGATGACTCACTTGATAAGACACACAAAATATGAATTTTTTAAATAGATATCCACTGGGTAATTGGTTAATTGCAATTTGTAAAATTGTTTTTGTTAGGAAAGATATGACCTTGATTTATTAAGGAATTAAACCTGGGACTATGAAAATCTTTAGTTCCGTTGTTGATAAGATGATAATTTTGATCATAAACTGCACTGGCATTTACTTGGTTAAATTTTTAGTTAAATTATGTCTAATGTGGTATGAATATTATGTTTGTTTAATGAAAACATAATTCGGGTATGCTTGCTATTAAATGAATTTAAAAATAATAGTCATCAACTCGTACAAAAGAAAACAAATACTGATGTTTTGTTTATTAATTTAATTGTAAAATAAATGTATATTTTAGTGCATATTTAGTCAGTCAAGCTTAGTTATCTCAGATTAGTTTTTATTAAAATAACCTAAACTAAAGATTTCTTTTGAATAGAATTATAACCACTTTCGTGTACGGTAATGAATTTCAAGGATCAATTTATTTTGCTCACATTTTTATTTATTGCGCGGTTCGGAAGATAAACTGCAAATGAAAGTTAATGTTTATGCAGCCGCAGACAAATTGCCAGGTTAAATGCGAGCCTCGTACGACAAGCATCGATTATGTCGAATTGTAACGTTAACAGCATCCTGTTTCCCGTCTTGCCAAAAGGAAGTTGGCCAACACAGACACACTCGCGCACACGCACACTCGCACACACATGGGGCAACCTCAATGTAGCATACTTTGCGGCGCGTTGATTCGTGTATGGCTGCTGGCACACAGCATACATAATTGATGTTTACTCTGAAGTAAGCATGCCAAACTACCACACACACACACACCCACACACTTCTGTGGCTACGGAAAACTGGGCTACAACTTCCGCCGCAACTTCCTCTCCGCCCTGAATGATTAGTTTTGGCCATGAAGGACTCTCTTCCTGGCCATGAAATCAAACTAAGTGCCCGGGCCAGAGTCCTTTATTTTTCAACTGTTCCGGCTGGCTGGGCTCCACTATTTGTCTGTGTGTGTCTGTGTATATATAGTTTTCCCGCTCAAGGTTATAGTTTTGTCAACATCTCTGGAAAATTGTTGAGTGTGTATTTGTTTTATTTATTGATTCATCAAGGGGTTTGCCTGTATGCTCTCCTTTGATTATAATTTCCATAATGGCAACAAGTGGAATGGAATGGAATAAGAATTTGGGAAAGTTTGAAATTAAATCTATAATAAACTTAAATCAATTATACTTAACATGTGATGTAAGGGTTGTAATTTTAATAGTACTTAAAATACTTTCTATTATAATTAATTCCTTTAGAAACATTATAAGTATTTTTAAAACATTGAAGGTGGTTGCTAATGTTAGTTCTATGACTTTTTGTTCACTTTTAAGTATTACAAAACTTGTGTCTAGTTTATTTCGAGCTAATGGCCAATTCCGCAATTGTTTTTTCTATTTTAGTTGAAATATTTTAAGCCAACTAATTCTGGGCAATTTCTCGCCTGTTCAATTGTTCTTTCCGATTCATTAATTTTCGCTTTGAAGCAACGGTTTCCTTTTCACTCTCGGTTCCTTTGTCAATTCAATTGTTTTGTCATTGCCTCGGCAGCAGCATTGCGCATACGCCCCGTTGACAAATTGTAATGGCCAAGGAGGCGAGTGAGCGGGGCGAAGGGCAGTGAGCGGTGGGCAGTGGGGTGAAGGGTGAAGGACGGAGGAGACTCCCTGGCGAGCAGGGGGTGGCGACGTCTTGGCCAAGAGAAACCACTTGCATTCGCTGGCTGCTGGCGCGAAAATAGAATTTGGCAATGGCTTTGGTGGTCCCTCGTCCGCCGACCGTTCATCTCGAAACCATGTGCCTGCGTGTGGACAACATGTCGCGCCACCGCACACAGGCAAGCCCAAACGCAAAGATTGGGGCAGGCATCAAAAGTACACAGGAAAAAATTTGTGTACTTTATGTAAGCTTCACTCAATCGAACAACAAAATTGTAAAAGGTTCTAGAAGCAAATATTTTGATTCAAAGTAATATTGACCATTTACTGAAACTAAAAAAAAACTATTTTCATCAACAACTATTCCAAAATTACTTTTTCTTTAAATACAAGAGAGAATAAACCTTTATTATACACATTTTTACAGTGGCGATTTAGGTTATTTTGTTGATCCTACCCAAATAATTATAATCTGTTAATAGAGAGAGCAGAAATATAGTTTCCTTAAAAAATGTATAATATATCTTTGGCTAAAAATTGCCTATATTTTTTTTACGTGTATGGCTGGCTGGTATGTTTGTTTTGTTTGTTTGTTTGCTAGCTAGCCTGTTGCTGATGCTGCCGTCTTTCCTGCTGCTTTTCTTTTGCTCTGGCGCTCTTCTTAACGACCAATAAATGTCGCAGCGAATGCAAATGCAGCGCTCGGCACAGTTATCCATTTATTTGCGTAGCAATTTTAAATTTAGTTTAGATAAACAAACAGGACGGTCGAGCGGAAGGCAGGAAAAAAAATGCTGAAAGTGTGACAGTTTTCCGGCCCACGCAGTGTTAGCGAAAGATATTTGGAGGCGACCTAAATGCGACAATTGCGATGAGTTCTCTCTAAACTCTCTAAAAATATCCAAATTCGGGCAACGACAATGTAAGCACAAACCCTTTTAAGCTCCCCGAAAATAACACAATCAAAGGAAAAGGAAACAAAAACAGAAACAGAAATTAGTGCCAGAAATAGAAGGACATTTGACAAGTGCATGTCAGTCAGCAAAGAGATTTTGGCCATTATGCTGGGATGGGACTTATTTTTAACCGACGATCGTGTTGAAAATAGTCGCCAGATATTGCCGAATATTGCATAATCTGAGGCGTGTCTGGGAATGTCGCTTTCGCATGATGCAATGCCGCCGTTTGCCAAGATTTTCGGCGCAATTTCGCCATTTGCAGTTCGCATTCGCATTACTGTCGCCACCAGTTACGAGTAAGTGCAGCAGTGCGCCCAGTGATTCGGCAAATTGCAATTATACATTTATAATCTACGTATTGCTGTCGGGCAATTCCCAAGCCAAAAAGTGGCCACAAAATCTCAGGCACACTGAAAACCAGAGCCCCCCAGTGCGGCAAATAGAAAAGAATTTGAAAAATAAATACCAAGTACGCGCTTTGCTATGTTTTCTATGCGGGGGTGGTCGAGCAGAGTGTGGGGGGATTGGGCCAACAAACTAGGTTACTTGGCAGTGTTTAGCATAAATAACTAGCACACAAGTGGCCACATCAACGGCAACAACAGAAACATCATCGCAAAGCCACATTAAAATAAATAAATGTGAGTGTGGGTGGGAAAAGAGAGAACGGATAATGAGGAAAATGGAAAATCAAATTAACACTGCGTTTTAAACCATTGAAAATTAATGAATTGGGTTGGCTTTAGCTATTAAAAATGGGGTGGGCTTTAACTACAGACTCGCCATTGCAATAGTTCACTATTTTATCTACCAAATTTAATTATAGTTTTTGAATTATTTTAAATATATTGGTTAAGCTAAAAATGCAATAAATTTATTATAATAAATTATGCATTGTTTGCATAAAAAGCTATTCAGAACAAAGTCCTTGGTTTTTTTATTGTAAAGGACATATTAAATATGACTTTAACAGCGTATTTGAATTGTATATTTGTTATAGCCAAATATAAACACGACAATATCCCAAGGCAATCAATCATTATGAATATTGTATTATAAATATAGTTGATATGTTGATAAAAGAACAGAATGCTAATATAAACATCTTTTGTTTAATTATTTTTATATTTTTCAAACAAGTTCTCATGTATTTGGTTTTATTTGCCTTTTTGCAGAGTCTACGCAAAGCGTGGACGGCGGACCTGCATCGTGGCGTTTAACGCTCGATCAGGATCTAATTGACACGCTCAAGGGCAACTTTCCCAGCTGGTTCCAGGTCTCAGCCGGCGGAGGAGGAGCAGCCAGCAAGCAGCAGCAGCACCATCATCATCATCAGCACAACCATCAGCTGGTCCAGCAGAAGCATCACCAACTGGTGGCCACCAGTGTCATACCCATAACCATTGACACCAAGCTCGGCGCCAGCAATACAAATACACTCCAGCAACATCAGCAGCAGGCGGCCATCCTGGGCCACAGTTCGTCGTCGGCCTCGCCCGCGTCCTCCGTCAGTTCCAACTCCTCGAAGAAGTCCATCAGCAGCAGCCTGAGCAGCTGCAGCAGCAGCAGTAGCAACAGCAGCAGCAGCTCCCATTGCATCTCCAACGCCAAGTCCGGTACCAGTGGTTCCAAGGGAGCCAGTGCAGCGACGGCGAGCAGGTTCCTCAACAAATCCACCTCCACGTCGCCCGCCAAGAGCCTTGCGAGGACTCTGAAGGCCACCCAGAAGACGGGCGGCAACCAGAAGGTTGGCCAGCTGGTCAAGTCCGCCTCCCTGCACAGCCTGAGCAGCGGCAGCAGCGGCAGTAGCAGCGGGAACAGCGCCAGCGGCAGCTCCTCGCTGCTGGCCACCATCTCCACGTCGCCGCTGACCACCGTCGAGCTCATCTCGAGCGCCGCCTGCAGTGGCCTCCTGGCCACCAGGCTCAGCGGCAAGGACTTTCAGGACATAATTCTGCTGCAGGAGGCCATGTCCGACATGTCGGAGGGTGAGTTTACGTTTGGTAGCATTAGGATTAGTGGAAACCACATTAAAAAGCGTTTTAAAAGACCCCTTAAAATAGTTAAGTAATAGTAGACATTTTAGTGGATATTAATACTTAGGCTTTGAGCTATTAAATTTCATTTGCTATGATAAAATAAAAGGCTGTACAAAGTTGTATTGAAAATTATAGTTATGTTTAACCATTACCGACATTTGCATCTTAAAATAATAAGGGCTTATATTTTATTTAAAATAATCATTTAAAGGAGCAATTTTCCAACAACAGTTTTTACCATTTTGTTCTTCAAAACTTATTTTAGCAAACTTCTTTATACCATGGAATAACAATAGTTTGTTGTACCTTTTTAGTGTGGTTCTCTCCTTTCAATTTAATACTTTACTAATATTTTTTCAACCTCAATTTTTAGGTGAGCAGCGTTTGCATGCCACGTTTCTGGGCAGCAGCGATGATGGCAACAACTCGGATTGTTACGATGCCAGACAGTCGCCGCCAAAGGCAATCGTGGATTCCAGTCCGCTGCAGCCGGCGATGGACAAGAACAAAGAATGTGAGTTGACAATCCTTAATCGAAATTCCTAAATACAATGGCAGTAGCAATCCACTTCTTTCACAAGAATTTAGCAGAGTTTTGCTTTTATTAAAAGTTTCAGTTAGCTCATTTTCAACTTTTATTTTAAGGAGGGGTTTTCTTTTAAATAAATTCAAAAATACTTTAAGTAAACTTTACGGTTTACCAAATCTAATCGCATGCAGTTTAATTTGTTTGTTTTATTTCTATAGTTTTTGTGAGAATAAAAACATTTTTAAATGATTAATTATGGCCCCAAAAAAAAAGGGGGACCACCCAGAGAAGCCGACAGCCGAGGAATCAATCCAACTTAACAGCCCAGAACTCAGAACCCTTTGGCTGTTAGTTCAGCTCTTGTTTACCCAATGTTTGCCGCCCACGTTGGCCATCTTTCGGCGGCTGTTTGGCATTTGTCATCCGGTGCCTCCTGCTTAGTCATAAATGCCAGCCAACACCACGACCACAACGATCATCGCCAGAGAACCATCATCGTAATCCTCCTCGGCTGCCCAGCTCATTATTGACGTTCGCCTGGGGGACAGTTGTGAGTGGGGTGGTGACTTTTACAGGGCGCACACAGTTTTAATGAAGCTGTCACGGCACAACAGGCACTTAGGGCGTACACTTGAGGTGCCACGCCCCCGGCGGCCAACAGCGGTCGAAAACTCATTCAAAAAATGCTTTTCTATTTTGTCAACAGTTTTCCGTTCCGTTCTGTTCTTTTTTGGCTGGCCTACATATTTGCTTGGCATTTTGAGTGAAGAGAAATATTCTTATTAATTTTGAATGGCCCAAGATGACAGAACTGGTGTGTGTATATAGCATATATATAATATATATATATGGCTGCATGGTCGCTAATAGTTTTGACAGCTCTTGTCGCCTGCAATTGCACGATTTTTGAGGTGTAACCGGAAGTGGACGATATAAAGTTCACACGCCCTGACCCTGACAAAAAGGATCTCTAAATCTAAATATTTAGGAAAACAAGGTTTATTTCTGGCCAAAAGCTGCCAAAAATGTATGGTGAAAATTTCCGGCAGGCGCCGAGCAAAGTTATCTAACAATAAACTGCATATTTAGCAACAACCACCAGTTCTCTATCTCTCTTTGCCTTTTGGTCAGTTCAATTCGGGGTGTATGTAAACATTGTGAAAAAAATTTATTATAAACACATGGCTGGCAGTCAATGATGGCGGCGCTGCAAAAATGTTTTGACAAATAAACACGCTGCACGCGACCCGAAAACGCAGAGAAGAGCGGAAATATCGGCGGCAGGGCGACAGTTGCAAAGGCATTTTCACATGCCACTCGGTGGCCAGTGCACATTGGTTTTCACAATCGGAAATAAATTTAAATTTATTTATTTATGGCTAGAGAATAGGTTTATATTAGAAACATCAGTGAAGCTTAGGTAACTAGAGGTGTCACGTTTATATTTTTACCGAAAACTGTTTAATTTCAAGTACAAAATACTCATAGATACATGCCTGACCTTAAGACGTGTCTAATAGACACTCAATTTTAAGTTATCCAAGGTAATGCAGGTTAGCTAAGAAAAAATATAGCATTGAGTAGAAAAAAATGTAGAAATTTTAATGGCATCACATGAGCTCTGAAGTGAAACACGTATCTCCACGAATTTTATGAAATTATTTGTATTGCTTTTTAGTTTAAAAAACTATTTGAAATGAGAATCCTCAAAGATGGCATCTCATTGCATAATCTCATCTTCAAAGTCAAAAACTTTATATATCGCAAAGTCAACCTTACTTTTTCACCACTAAAGTGACCTTTTCAGTCCACTGTGCCTGTCCCTTGGCTGCCATCACATGCATTTGCCTAGCTGCGATGATGGCGTCTTCGTTTAGTCAGAGCAGCGTTGATCACGTAATCGATTTTATAATACAACATATAAACACGTATTTAGCCACACTTTTGTGCGGGCTGCCTCTCCCTGTTTTCCCGCTCTCTGGCCAGATTTTCTTCGTTTTCCCCGGCAATTGTTTACCTGACCTTCGCCACAGGCAGTGGGTTTTCTCGGCGAAGGGCAGCTAACCGCAACAAAATACCAACAGGAATTCTATAAGAAACTCGTTGGCCATGTCTACACACATTTATTGCTTTTCGCATAAAACTTTTATGTGTTTAATTTGGAATTTATGTTATTGTTTTTATCAATCCGTGGGTGGAGGTAGGTGTGTGTATCGACGGGGAGAAAAAACAAAATTTCGCGCATAATTAATTTACGAAGGCGACAGTGTCGTCACCGAGAGAAGATTTTCCAGTGTTACATTGCTAAAAATTCAAGTGTTTTCCCTGGCAGCCATAAACAAAAACAAGAATTTGTTTTCGGTTATTTTCTTTTTTTTTTCTTTTCTTTCTTTCTTGGGTGTTGTTTTGCACACAAATTTTTGTGTGGCACACTTCAATCGTAAAATCGCCAACAGCTGCCACCGCCGTCTAAGACAATTACGCGCCTTGGCAGCTCTCTTGGCTTTTTATGATGATTTCCGACAAAGAGCCCAAATTACTTTAATAACGTCATCGTCACTTTGATGTCGACTTTGTTGTGGCGTCAAGTGTTTTCTCTGTGTCTGCCTGGGCAGCATCGAAAATTAAATACACTGGGTAAAAGGCTTTTCTAAGCGACTAACCCACTTACTAAGATTGCACACAAGCTGCAAAAGTCGAAAGTCCAAAATGGTAAAAGGGGGAAATGTATTTACATGCACTGGGAAAAAATGTCCAACTTAATCTTTTCATAAATAGGAATTTATAGGGTTTAAACAGGGTTACAATTTCATGACATTTAAAAATATTAGTCTCCTAGTCTTCATTGATAAATAAATAGTCTAATTAGAGTAACAAAAAATATGATTTAAAGTACATTTACATTAAACTCACAATTTTATAATTAATTTTAATACTCAAAACACATTAAAGAAAATAAACAAAATAATATAATTTTAGAATTTGATTCAATAAAAATCAGGTATATTACCCAAAGCAAGTTAAAATTAATATTTGTATTTAAAGTAACTTGGTCAGAGCAAAGTTCTTGGTGAAAGTTAAACGCATAAATGTAAAGGCAGTATGAGAAATTGTTCACAATTTTTCCTCATTCTGCATCTCTGTTTCCGGTCTTAAATGCTCATCCTTGGCTTTTAGGATGGTAACCACAAAAACACCGATTGCACTGCCCTTCGGCTTGTTTTGCTGCCTCGAACTGCCGAAGGGGCATAAGATTTTGTGTTTTCGTTTCATTTGCGGCTTTGGCTTTATTTACCTCCAGTTTGCAGGCTTCCGATAGATGAGGCCATCCCCATCCTCCCACTCCGCAGTGTCCTGCCGCCTTAATGGGCTTTATTTCGTTTTAATTACATGGCTGGCTGGCCATTTTGTGAATCAATTTCGCCAGTGCTCGGAATGCTAATTGAAGGTAATGATATTAGGAGAGCAGGTCGTATGCTTAATATGCCAAAACATTCCCTGGAGACTAAAATTACATTACACAATGCTTGCACGCATTTAATCGTCCATTCGGATTTAATGTTGAAAGGATAATGTCCCATTAATTGATTATTTTATACGCTTTTCGATTATAATTAGAGTGACTTTGAGAGAGTATTGTCTCATCTTTCAAAGTCAAATGCGGTGGCTTAAGAGGGCTCCTTGTTCCCCATTATTTATTTTGCCGACAGTCTGTCACTTTGTCCCTATTTCTCAGCGGCTGCCATTGACTGGATGCCAAGTTAATTGACATCAATCTGTTATTTAGCCGCCGGGAGCATTGGCAATCTAATCAGATTATTACGCATACGCCCCATGGGGCCACACCTTCGTCGCCAGACTTCAGACCCAAACTCCAGCTTTTGAGTTTGACTTTGGCCTGGCTTAAATATTTAATTTTCCAGCCCCAAACTTTTCACTCCTGGAAAATATGTGTACACATTGTTCACACCATAATAGCCCGCACATAAAGATATTAAAAACTTTTTCCTTTTTTCGCGCTGCCTTGTTTTTCCCATTCGCAGCTGCCTCTCGACATTTATTGCCATTGCCCTGGCATTGTCAAAAGGCTAGGAAAAGGCAAACTTTTCGCCCCAAAAATATTTCCCCCCAGCTGTTTCGAGCACTTTTGTATGGAATTTCTATGTTTGATCGCCACTCTCCCACATTTTATTGTTTAATAATTTATGATTTTTTTGCGGATTTTCAAATGTTAAAAAAATTATTGGGCTCTCTTATATATTTTATTTAACAGCGCTTATATTAAAGTTGAAATTAGTAGTTAATTACAACAGAAAGAAAAATAATCTTCCTGATTATTAATTGTAACTCCTTGAATCATTACTCATTTCTGTAAAAAAGAAAATTTATGAATTCGTGATATTAAAAAAGAGGAAACGATGATACATATATCACATTATAGAGTTAGCTATTTTCTCTAAATATAATAAAAATTTTAAGATCTTTTGTATGAGATTACCCCCATTTAATTACCATTTCCCCTTATTCTAATAAAACTAACTTATAACTTTTGTGTTTTTATTAACAACTGACATCTAGTGCAGCTTTACTAACCCGCTTTTTTGGTTTTCACTCTTTTTGCAGCGCTCAAAGTGAAGCTCATGGTGCGACGTCCACATTCGCAGCTTGTCGAGCAGGGCATCATACCATGTAAGTAGATGCGTCCGAAAAGCAGATTTTATTCCTGCCCCGGGTCACAGCATTTAGCCGCTTAGTCAGATCGATAAAATACACATTAACCTCACTTAGCCGGTTCAGAGCATCTGCTGGCGTCCAATTCATCGGCTGCCAAAAAGGATATGCAAATACTGCTGCCGAACATTTCATTTCAATGGCTTTCAAATTTATGCGCAAAGGAAAAAAAGCGAAACCAAGGAAAAGTATCCTGGAAATACGCAAATTTACAAACTAATTCAAAGCCCTCAACGCAGCCGAAAGTGAATTTGAATTTAAATGATAAATTTCCAGCAATGTTGAAGCGCCAAGAGCGAGGAAAAAGCTGAGCCAACTTTTGGGCACTGGATCAGAAATACATTTTGTGTATCCAAATAGTAGGGCAGGGTATTAGGTTCTGACTAGATGGCTGCGAAATGCATTAAATTTATTAGATGTTGATGAGCGAGTCGGGAAACTCTTCAAGCGGAATGTTTACATATGCCGGTGAACTAATGGAAATGGTTTTAGGACCTTTGACCATCGAAAAGCGCAACTCTAAGCTTGACTTTTACTATTTAAAAATCTAGAAAAAGAAAAATGAAATAACATTTCTTTTAAATTTAAATGCATTGAATTTCAGCAGTACAAATTTCATAATGAAACTTAAGAACTAGCACTTTAAATTATTTAAAAAGGCAGTCTTTTTGGATTTCTTTAAGGAATTAGTCAATAGTCAAACTAATCGAAACATAAACTTATTAAATAATTATTTCATTTTCCTCGCCAGCTCTGAAGACATCGCCCGCCATCCACGAACAATGCAAGCAACTGGAGCGCGCCAAGACCAGCGATCTGCTGAAGGCCAAGATCCAGCAGCGGCCCAATCGCGAGGATCTGGAGAGGCTGCACATCCTGGAGGAGGACGAGTGCCACATCGATCCGAGTCTGGCGGAGAAGCAGCGCATGCTGAAGAAGGCTCGCCTGGCGGACCAACTCAACTCGCAGATTCAGCATCGTCCTGGTCCATTGGAGCTAATCAAGAAGAACATCCTGCACACGGAGAAGCCGATCGAGAAGATCGTCAAGGAGGGACTGGTGTCCTTCAAGGCCACCAGCGAGGGATTGCTCACCAGGCCGCAGCATCCGCATAGCTATGTGACCTTCGACGAGGATTCCCTGAGCTCGGAGAGCGATACGCGGCAGACGCCGCCGCGTTTGGATGAGGCGATGGCGGTCGCATCCAGTTCACCCACCGATGTGCTACAGGCGGCGGCTGCCTCTGCGGGAATCGTGTCCATGGCCCTGACCATGCCCACAGCGGGTCAACTGGTGGTCACCTCACCTAGGATTCTCACCCAGCAGCAGCAGCCGAAGGCTGTGTTGGTTCCGGCTCCAGTACCACCACCTCCGCCGCCGCCACCACCTCTTCCGGTGGCCAGTATCATTAAGGTGAAGCAGGAGACGGCCAATCTGTTCGAGGAACTGTGCCAGAGTGTGACGGGAACGACGGCGAGTCCGGTCAGCCTCCAGTACCTGCCCATGCTGGCATCGCCCTGCTCCCGGGCCTCGAGTACGTCCACCCTGAGCCCCCTCTCCTCCATCGCCTCGCCGCCACCCCCGCCGATGACCACCACTCGGCTGCACCTCCAGCCCGTGTCCGTCAAGTCCGATGCCCCGGGGAAGGACAAGAACCGGAAGAAGTCCAAGTCCAAGCCGGTGTCCAAGGCGCGCACCATTAAGTTCCACGAGTACAAGGGTCCGCCGAGTGCCGCTGGCCAGAAGCAGGATCAAACACAGCCGGAGGAGACCTCCTACCAGCTGATGTTGGAGCAGCAGAACTGCCTGCTAAAGTTCCTGGAGAACCTCAACAAGAATCAGTCCATCATCCCAGCGCCCAGTGCGCCGGGTGTCATGATTCCTTCAGCGCCGGGAGCGACCAACAACAGCATCACGGTGACCACGAAGACGGTGCCCGCTCTGGCCTCGCAATCTGCTCCAGCTCCGGCTCCCATCAGCCTGCCCAATACCATTTCCATAACGAGCAGCTCGGGAGGAGCTCCGCTGAATTTCGGCGATGCCGCGATGTTGACGTCCACGCCGGCGGTTACGCCCACACCGCCCACACTGTCGCTAATTGCCACACCGCACCAACAATTGCAGCTACACCAGCAACATCAGCAGCTACAACTTCAACCGGCTGTTGTGCAGCATCCACCACCTCTGCCCTCGCCGGCGCTCTCGGTTAGCTCCTCGATTCCGCCCAGTCCGGCCACCAGTTATGCCGAGTCCACCACCAGCTCCATCACGGATCTGACGCGGCTGGAGAAGATGAAGGTCTCGGACTTGAAGCAGCATCTCAAGCGCAGGAATCTGCCCGTATCCGGACCCAAGCCCCATCTTATCGAGCGACTGAAGCCGTATCTGCCTTTGGAGCCACTTGAGAGCACTGTAACAGCCACTCCTGCTTCTAACAGCAATACCACCACAGAGGTGATCACCATCAGCGATGCCATGGATACCAGTAACTGCGGCTTGGTGGAACAAACTCCGCCGGTGACCATGTTGGTCTCAGATGCGGGCTTGGAGCACGAGCAAATGGACGTGGTGCAGCAGCAGCTGGATAACACACATCCGATAACTTTGCAGACCATTCTGCCTCCACAACCGCAAACGGCCACCATAGTCCTGACCAACGAGGAACTGCTGAGGGAGCAGCAGCGCAAGATTGATGAGCTGCAGCGGCAATTGCAGCGATCGCAGCAGGAGTTGCAGAAAATACGCCAGCGACAACAGCAGCAGCAACATCAGCAGCAGACTGTCACGGCCCAAGTGGTGAATTCATTGCCCACGCAGCAGATTACGCTGATCACCACGACCTCGAACGGACCGCAGCAAACGCTGACTGTGATGCCGCAGCAGGTGGAGAAGACCATACCGGCCAAGGTGACGGTGAAAGCTAGTGGAGGTCACAAGGTCAATGGGTTGCAGCAACAGGGATCGGCAGCGAAGAAGCCAGCTGGCGGCAACTCCAACAACAACAGCAGTAGCAACATCTCATCAGCCAATCCACCGCCCATCAACCAAAAGATGGTGGTCAAGCAGCAACTTGAGGCCAAAATCCAAAAGCAGAAAGCAGCGGCAGCAGCCGCGGCACAGCAGCTCCAACAACAGCAACAACAGCAGCAACAACAGCAGCAGCAACAGCAACAACAACAGCAGCAACAGGTGCGCCTGCTCACGCAAAAGACACAAACTGTACTCATTCCATTCAACAACAACAACAATCACATAAACAATGCTCCTGCCAAGACAACAGCCAAGAAATCCAATGTGCCCGCCAGCAATACAACCAGCACAACCATATTGCAGGCAGCTAAGCCGGCGGTAACAGCAGCAACTACTCCAGTTACCCAGCACCACAATAACTTGGGGCTGTTGTGGAACGAGGGCAATCAGACCATATTCCTGGTGGGTCTGAACGATCAACAGATGACGGCGCACACGCTGGGCAACATCAGCTTAACGGCCACCACCACAACAGCAGCTCCTGCTCCACCAGCTCCTCCCAAGAAGCTTTTGAATGGCCACCAACGCACAAACTCCCTGCCCAGCATTGTTTTCCCCATCGAAACCAAGTCCATCATCACGCAGCAGCAGTTGCAGCAGCTCCAACAACAGCAACATCAGCAATTCCAGCCTGTCCAGCAGCAGCAGCAACTTATCCAGCTGGATATTAAGCCCTCTCCAGCACCACCGCCGCATTATGAGGAGGCCACCAAGCAGCTGGCGGCCAGCAAGGCGGCAGCTTTGAATGGCCTCCTACCGCTGGTGAAGATTAAGGAGGAGCCCGTTCAATCCCCGGCGCCGGCTGTTGCTCCTTTAACAACAACAGCTCCTGTGTGCAAACGTAAATCGGCGAGCATCAAGTCCGAACAGGTCAGCGATGTCCTGGACATACTCATCAAACAGGGAGAGCTTCCGGAAAGTGCCGCTCTGGAGCCCATCACACCGCTGACGCCGCTGCCCGAGTTGTCCATGTTCAACGGAGCCACGCCCACGACGGCGGCGGGTGGAGCCAGCATAGTGCCGCTGGTGCCCAAGCTAGAGGCTCCATCCACTCCGGCCCAAGCCCTTGACATCGTGGCCATGGACACGAATGAAGCGCACGTGAGCTATGTCAGCACTCAGCCCACGGCGAGTCATGGATTCATCGAGAACATAGACATGGCCTCGCCTCTGCAGACGGATACGTCGGCCATCGATGCGGAGAGTGTGGCCAAGACCCTGGACATCTTCCTGGAGCAGCACCATGCCACGCCCCCGCCCAGCACGCCGCCCAAGAGTTGTCACAGTGGCAGCGAGAAACCCAATAGTCCGGATGCCAAGCTCAATCACTTCGATGAGTACGAGTTGCTGGAGCTGATGTCGCAGCAACTGGAGATGGACATGGGGGACGACTCCAGTGGCTATTGTCACACCTCGTCGGCCAAGAACAGCGGCGGCAACAACAACGGCAACCTGCGACGCGATCTCAATCCCAGCCTGCAGCCGTCCATCAACGAGCTGCTGGACGCCAGCAGTCCGGACAGCGTGCTGCTGAACAACAATGCGGGTGCCGATGTGGACTTCGATGCGGATAGCTTTGTGGCCCAGCTGAGCCAGCATGTCACCGGCAATGGCAACAGTCCGGGGGTCAATTGCAATGGATCCCTGGAAGCATCGTCGTCGGCCGTGAATGGCCATTTTGGCAGCCACAGCACCCCGATGGATTGCGATGATTTCGAGAGCACACTCAACTCCTTCATGCAGGCGGTGACCCAGCCGCAGGCGGGTCAACACGGCGAGTACTCGACGTCGACGAGCATGGCCAATGGAACTGGAGGAGGAGTAGGAATGGGCGTGGACAACGGCGGTGGCGGAGCAGTGGACGCCTTCAATACCAGCGGCGATATATTCGATCTGTTCAACATGGACGACTACAAGATGAACTGGGCAGCAGGGGATTTCACCGTCTAGATGGTTTATGTTTCCATATAGTCCCCCTTAAAAAAAAGGCAGAGCAGAATTTTCAAAATCACATCTATATATTTCCCCAACTTTGTTCCGTATCGAAAAGAAAAAACATACACACAATCCAGCGTGGTGCTCACTTTTCTCAAAATATTCCTGAAGAATTCGTTTCGAAGAAAGCAAACACACACACACACACACAAAACAAAACAAATCCTATTTATTTTCTAAATGCATTTAAAACATTTGAACGTCAGTTGAAATTTTGAAACTTTACTATTTCCAAGAAAAACAAAAAAACAATGCCAAAATTGCCGGGAGTAACACTCCAAAAACCATACTTTGCACCCTTTCCTATATAAGCAAGAAAAACAAAAACCACAAAAAACAGCCAAAACATTTAGAAAAGGATAACAAGTAAAACTTATCATAAACTATCACTAAATCGTAAGTCTACAAACAAAAGTTGTAAAGATCGATAAAGAGAGAAAAGAAAAAACAAAAGTACATGTTTCTAATGAAGGTCATTCCAATTTGAGAATAATGCGAGTGAAATCTAACTAACTAAACCGAATGGAAGAATGAATGAGTTGATGAGTCCAGGATGAGGATCAAGATCTGCAGAAAATAAAGGAGAGAAAGTGGCAAAGGAAAAAAAGAAAAAAAAATTATAAAAAACGTAAAAAAAATTATATTCTTGTTGTGAGAACGACTTAAGTGAAACACATTCAGTAATTTTGTTTTAAGTTCTATTTAAAATGAAATGAATTCAATTATTTAAAGCCTACGCAATGCTTAATTCTAATTTGAAAGCGAAATTAAATAAAAATTTAAAACACAATTTGAGAAGTATTTCCTGCAAGGAAAGAAAAAGCCTTTAAAGTAGTCGAAGCCACAAACCAGTTAAATTAATATTTAAACTCGGATCAATTTCATTTCAAATGCTAGCGAAAATATATATATTCATATTTCTTTTTGTTTTGCATTCTTAGGCACAGCGAATTCCGTTACTTAAATTAATTCTAAAGAAAATATATTAAAAGCAATTAATTTAGCTACTTCGTAAAGTAATTCAATTCTGCGGCGTGTACTTAACGCACATTTATTAACAGTGTCTAACGCAATTCGGAATTGTAATTGTTTAACTCTTGTATGCTTACATATTTGGCTAAGTGTATTTTGTAAATTTGGAGCATGCCAAGCATTCGGACATATTTTTGAGTGTAAGGCTCAATAAAATCAAATTTAAATGTAAACTGAAATAATTATACATTAAGCAAAGGACACATTTCAAGGAGAAACAAGCAAAAGAGAACCCAATTCAAAATTGCAAAGTGTGAAAAACTCAATACAATAAATATATTTTTGTATAAGCGAATTATATATACTCTACGTTTAGATCTAGTCTAAAATTTCACACATTTCACCCGCAGAGCAAAAGTTAATCATCACTTGACACTTGTTTACATTTGCAATAATCTGATTTAAATTTGGATTGTAAGCTTAAAGTATATTTATCATCGACGCGCTTTAAACACAAATGAGAAACGTTTCCATTATAACAATTCATATATTAATTTTAATGAATACGTTTATTGTTAGAACCAAACTTAATTACATAACTAAACTTATTGTTTGATTAATTCTAAATTTAATTACATAAATATCTAATTTAATATGTTGGCTTGAACAATTTTTGTGCGTTGCGTTTAAAAGAGATTTCATTTAAATACAATACAGAATAAACTCAATCACGTCATGAACTATGTGTAATTTTATTGCAACAAAAAGGATAAAAGTCTACATAATAAAACATAACAAGTGATATACCGATATACTTATATATATTAATGCGTAAATAAAAACATTATTCATTTTTCCAAAATGTGGTGCCCAGATTTAATTTACTTACCAAACTGATTAGCGAAGCCAAACAAATGCTTTTGGCCCAGTACTTTATCAAGTTTTGAACTCTGCGAAGCATGATAAATACGCATTTAAGCGCATTACGCCCCTGCGCAAGTTAAATTCCACATTAAAATTAAAATCAATGACAGAATAATACGCAATCATAATGATTTTGTGGCTGCCACAGAGCAGTATCAACAACATCAACAAAACAAGGCTTATCATTAGCCAAAGCGGCCATTCCTTGATTGGCGGCCCACCGCCCACTTACTGGGCGGATTTGGGGGGCGGGGCACTGGGTGAAATCGAGTTGAGTTCAGTCGTTTATTTTTAGACCCGAAACGAATTCAGCAAACAATATGACGCAAAATTGCAGCAGCAGTGGCAGTTGAGTAGCCATGGCAACAATTGTCGGATATTCCATAGTTGGACGGCTGCCAAGCGTTATGGCTTACAGCCGAAGGACAATGGCGGAGCACAAAGGACGAGGGAAACACAGGACCTCCTGCAGCGGCAGAGCCCTGCTGTCCCACACAGAGACAATCTGCTCGTGAATCTCCTTTGAAAGTAAACTTGGCTTTATCGGCGGAAGGAGGAGCCCTTTATCTGTTTCTTGGAATTAAAGGTATGATTCGGATTTAATTGAAGAAACAATAGTTTTGCATATTTCAAGATATTTTTATCGAGAGAACTATCTTTGAAATTGAAGACAGGAAATTCTCTTTGTTAATATTTTTGCCAATGGTCTTATTCAAATCAATTTAATTAAATTATTGTTATGTTAATCAAAATCCTGGAATATTATGATCGTCATTAAATCCGCAGAAAGTGGTTCGGATCCAAAATTTAGTTAGTTTAAAAATAGTTTAGTTTCCGAAAATTTTGAAAGGGGTTACTTCATTAAAATAACAAAAAATCGACCCAAAAATAAAAACCAAAATTTGAACACGGATTTTTAGAGAATAAAGCCACAATTATTTAGAGATATGCCACTTTGCAATCGGATGTCTGTAGAAAAAGTTATGAGCCTAGCAGTGCTGGTTTTTGACACTTTTCAGCTAAGCCATTTTCCGAATATTTGGAAAGGGGTAACATCATTAAAATGACGAAAAATTGACCCAAAAATAAAAACCAAAATTTGAACACAGATTTTTTGAGAATAAAGCCACAATCATTTAGAGATATGCCACTTTGCAATCGGATGTCTGTAGGAAAAGTTATGAGCCTGGGAGTGCAGGTTTTTGACACTTTTCAGCTAACCCATTTTCCGAAAATTTGGAAAGGGGTAACATCATTAAAATGACGAAAAATCGACCCAAAAATAAAAACCAAAATTTGAACACAGATTTTTTGAGAATAAAGCCACAATCATTTAGAGATATGCCACTTTGCAATCGGATGTCTGTAGGAAAAGTTATGAGCCTGGGAGTGCAGGTTTTTGACACTTTTCAGCTAACCCATTTTCCGAAAATTTGGAAAGGGGTAACATCATTAAAATGACGAAAAATCGACCCAAAAATAAAAACCAAAATTTGAACACAGATTTTTTGAGAATAAAGCCACAATCATTTAGAGATATGCCACTTTGCAATCGGATGTCTGTAGGAAAAGTTATGAGCCTGGGAGTGCAGGTTTTTGACACTTTTCAGCTAACCCATTTTCCGAAAATTTGGAAAGGGGTAACATCATTAAAATGACGAAAAATCGACCCAAAAATAAAAACCAAAATTTAAACACAGATTTTTTGAGAATTAAGCCGCAATCATTTAGAGGTATGCCACTTTGCAATCGGATGTCTGTAGGAAAAGTTATGAGCCTGGGAGTGCAGGTTTTTGACACTTTTCAGCTAAGCCATTTTCCGAAAATTTGGAAAGGGGTAACATCATTAAAATGACGAAAAATCGACCCAAAAATAAAAACCAAAATTTGAACACAGATTTTTTGAGAATAAAGCCACAATCATTTAGAGATATGCCACTTTGCAATCGGATGTCTGTAGGAAAAGTTATGAGCCTGGGAGTGCAGGTTTTTGACACTTTTCAGCTAACCCATTTTCCGAAAATTTGGAAAGGGGTAACATCATTAAAATGACGAAAAATCGACCCAAAAATAAAAACCAAAATTTGAACACAGATTTTTTGAGAATAAAGCCACAATCATTTAGAGATATGCCACTTTGCAATCGGATGTCTGTAGGAAAAGTTATGAGCCTTGGAGTGCAGGTTTTTGACACTTTTCAGCTAACCCATTTTCCGAATATTTGGAAAGGGGTAACATCATTAAAATGACGAAAAATCGACCCAAAAATAAAAACCAAAATTTGAACACAGATTTTTTGAGAATAAAGCCACAATCATTTAGAGATATGCCACTTTGCAATCGGATGTCTGTAGGAAAAGTTATGAACCTAGGAGTGCAGGTTTTTGAGACTTTTCTATAGTATTTACTGGCCTCACATAGTTTTCTATGAAAAATATCCCATTCACTGTTTTAATCAAGGTATTAAGTTTCTAACTAGTCTGCACTCTGGGAGTATTAAGCTAATCATCTATTGTTGGGAAAATTCAATGGCCACTCAGCAATCGGCATTGAAGGGCTTAGAGTCCTCAATGAGTCGATGGCCGACTTGCGTATTCCCCAATTAAGCTTGGCCATTACCTTTAATAACCCGCCTTATATCCATGCCAATTTATGCATCCATTCTGCGTTGTTTTTGGCCATTGTTGGCAGGCGGCCACAGCGAAAACAACAGCGTCAACATTCCACAACAGCTGCAATATGTGCCAGCAACAGTTGCCCAGCAGCAGCACCACACAAAACCATCGCGAACCACCGCACCACTCTCGCGAATCTACAACCACCCATTGCGAACTAAATTTATACAGCGCTGACTGTAATTTGCGTTATTAAAATGGCGTCAGTTGCTTACCAAAGCGAAAAGTTTCGCCACGCCCCCTTCATCGTTCGCAGGTCCTTGGTCCTTGGTCCTTAGTCCTGGGTCCTTGTCACAGGAGCCCCTGTGCTGGTCTTCCACGCTCCTCTAATTGTGTTGGAGCTGCGCTACAAATAGGTCATTCTCCGATGGCCAGTCAAGTAAATTGAGATTTATTTCTGGGAATTTGGTATTTCGCTAAGACACAAAAAGAATTTTTAGCGGGAAACCAGCAGGTTTACTGTCCAGTTGGAAATAATGATGATGAAGGTGTCTAGTTGGTTATGGTTGGCTTTCATTATATATATTTTTATTTCACTTTAAGCCTTTAATATTGTTTAACCGTCAAAGGAAGTGCTTGATTTTATGACCATATTTCTAAGGACTAAAATATTATTTATACATATTTTTATTAAACTAGTTAAAATTAGTAAGTGTACAAAAAGAAAATCCGATACCAAAATAAATGTTCGTCACTAGTTACTCTACCCTTAAATCTGGTAACGTGATGTTCCCCGCCAAGGTTAGTATATATTTTCAAAAACAAAAGGACACCCTTTCGCCTTACTTCTTTTAGACTTATGGCCAAATCCCTTGATCACTGCCATATAGAGGTTTCCTAAACTGCTCTGGCCGAAGCCCCGAGGGAACTACGCAATGTGCGTACTTCTTGGCGTTTGCCTTTTGGACTTGGCCCAGCAACAAGTTGGCCGTGTTGGCCATCATCCTTCAGGGCCAGTTCCCACTTACCCCTCACCCCCGCCAAAGGACACCCCCGACGAGTCCACCCAGCCCATAAGTCAAACTGTTGCTTTCATTTCGCTGGTGTGAACTTTTCACTTTCCTGCCAGCTTTTGCGTTTGCCCACTGATCGATATCAATTGATTGAGCCACGCGAAGGCACACGATTTTTTCGCCATTTGATTAACAAAGGGAATTTTCAGAGCCTCACAAATTATGACCCACTCGACAGCAATTTCCCGGCACATTATTCAGAGTTAATTACTTTGTCAAATAAAGCGTTTTGAGCCACAGGCACAACAGGCATTGCCATTGTTTCCGCCGTCTTTGGTGTGAAAATTCAATTAACTTCGCGCTGTAAATAGGCAGAAATACGGCCTAGCCGAAAATCTGTCTGGCAAACTATTTGCATTGAGCATTTACCCAAACGGCCAGGACAACGAGGACGAACACAACGGCAACAATGACTGCTTTCGCGATTTTTGCGTCATTCACCCAAGTTAATGCTAAGACCACTTGTCGTCCTCGCAAATTGTTCTAATTAAGAAGACCAAGTTGGCGACGAAGTTGGTCGAAAAGGGCGGGGCGTTCGGGCAGGTAAAATGCCAAATTAAAATCGTAATGAAGCACTTAAGTTGTGTTTTCTTAGACCTTTTTTGCTGCCCTCCCAAAGGGTCCTCAAAATGTATTTGGGAATTTTAAGGAGAATTATAGAAATTGGATTAGTTAAAGATAAATATTTTGAGACTTTTGAAGGCTGGTTGTAGCATTATAAGAAGGGATAAATCTTAGATGTAAAGAAGGTTAAATTCAATTAAGTGACATGTTATTAGATTAATATTAATATTTTGGTAACTAATTTTTTAATGAAAATGTAGTGCCATCTTCTGAGTTTCCTTTTAATTATTTGTTTATTATTTATTTATTTATTTGTTTATTATTATTTATTTTAATTATATTTAGTTAAAACGCACCATTTTACTTATGTTATTAAATTTTGACTTCAGTTGGATATCGCGTATTATTTATTGGCTTCTTTAAATTGAAATGCCTTTTGTAATATTCAAAATGTAAGTTCAAAATAAATTAAAAGCTTATTATCGGTTGTTAGATTTTTTAAAGAGTATTAGATACTCAGTAAATACAAGTTGGTGACATCCTGTATTTGGTGGCTCTTAACTCAGCCATCTTGGTTGTTGGCGAGCGAGGATTTGAGATTCAAGTGTCCCCGGCATTAGCGTCGAGTGCTCGGCTGTCTTTCTTAGGGCTTCCACATAATTAAGTTGTAGCCATTGAAAGTGGGCAAAGGATTATTATGCGGGGTCCTCAGTGCTCGGACTGGTGCCCTTCGTCCTTCGGCTGTCTTCCCTCCTGACCGTCGCCATTAATTGAGTGTCATGGCGAATGCAAAATAAGCTTACGCATTTAGTTGACATAACCGTCAGGGATAAACTGCCAGCTGGTCATCCAATTCAATGACAGTTGCACTTGCAGTTGGAGTTGGCTATCGCAAAATAGATTCTTAAGCCAATCTAATGGCAGGCAATTAGCTGGGGTTTTTATTCTTCTTCGAAGCAGATGTTATGGGGCATAAATTCTCTCACTGGCACGTGGGTGTTTTCCTTTCTAGTTTGCTAGATAGAAAGGACGTTTGTTTTATCCCAAACCAGACTTATTTAAATCATTTAAAAATAAAACTACTTCAAGAAAGCAGTTATTATTATAAGAAATATATAATCTTTTTGGCATTTCTTTAAGTGTCCTTATTACATATTCAAATAAAACATCTTACTAAATACAAATATAAGTTACTGATACAATATCCAGGCTATGTCAATCAATCAATTAGAGAATGTGATTGATGATTGATCCCCTGAAATTTAAGAAACATCCTCTATTTTATGCTTACAGCTGAATTTATGGAAGCATGTTAGCTTTCTATATTTCTAAAATTATTTTTCAAATTTCAATTGCTCTAAATTTTGTACGTAAATTTTGTATGTTATTTTTATAACAATGTAGAGATTTAATTTTCCCCCAGAAAACTGACCACTGTTAAGCCTCTAAAAGTAGGCCACAAATCGTGCATCCCGCCATTGAATGGCGTTTATCTCGGAGTCAGGAGCCTCGAGCATGGTGTACCATCTGGTTTTTGATCGACCCCACCGCTAGTCCGACCCCTGACCCCTGACCTGACCGGACCGGACCCACCGCCTCCTGACCGTGGGTCAATATTGGTTTGCTTTACTGCGCTCGGTTTGATTTTGTTTGCTCTTGGCTGCCAGCATGCGGAGCAAAAACTTTTGCCGCAAGACTCTCACACGCGCTGGATTCTCGGCGAGAATGTGTGCAAATGTCGGGGATATTCCATGGTTAAACAAAAGCATTTGCATGAAAATGTTTTACTTTTACTTCGAGTTTTGTGTGTGTGACGAGCAAATGGAGGGGAAACCGGGAGCACGGGGGCTCGCCATTTTGTTTGCGCTTGCTTAATGTTTTGTTTTCCCTCTGTTGTGCAGTGCTAATTGAAGCAGATTTCTTACAGGAAAATTCGCCGTCTATAAAATGGAAAACTTAATCTGAAAAAATCAATCTGCAATAAAAATAAAATTAAGAAGACGACGGAAGGCGCCATAAAAAAAGGGAGAAGGAAAAGACAGCACATAAAGAGGAGCCGAGGAAAATGGACCCTTGGCCAAAGGCAAAAGGTGTGCGTCAGGATTACGCGGCATTTCACCATTTCGGCATTTCGGCATTGCGAGCAGGCGAGGGTCCAAAGGATATTCATAAATAAATATCTGCAGGCATACAAATTGATAAGCTGGCAGCCAGGTCCCGGCCTAAGCCCCCCAACAATGTCCGGATACCCAGGTACCCAGACCCTGGCATCTTAATCGACAGACGCTGCATACCTTTTCGAGGCCTGCGAAATCGCCAGTCGACATCCCGACCTCGAGTGGAGTGGAAAGGGATCTCGAACGGGTCCAACACAAACATCCCCCGATGACTGGCTGGCTAACAGGTAAACATTGGCTACACTCGCAAAAAAATAGCCTTGGGGCTGGGAAAAGTTTCAAGTGGAATGGTTAAATGTTAAAAAATGCAGCTCATAACATAAAGATACAAAAATGCTAGGCCTAAGAACAATTATCAAAGTTAGCAAATCAAAAAATAAATTACTCCTGTAAAAAATAAACTTCTTGAATTTTATTATAGAGGGGTAAGGTGTAGTTTTATTTAGTATAGCTTATAATAAATTTAAAAGATATAAATATAATTTTATTTACGAAATAAATATAATTTGGAGCTCTTCATATTCCGAAAATATAAAGAAGTAATGTAACTACTAAAGATTTTACTTGTAAATAAATACTGTACTGTTATTTATATTTTAAAAATTATATTCAGTTATAGAATAGTATTTTTTCCAAATTCACCCGTGTGCGTTTCCTTTTGCAGCTTTCTAATGCCGTTCGTCCTTCAACAGGCGCTGCTCCTTTCACACGCAACGCCCCCAGCTCCTCCCCGCATTTTCCCTTTTCCACCTCGCATTGGCACATTTTCTTTTCGCTGCCTCCTCAGCTTTTTTTCGCAGCTCCTCCTTGGCCCTTTTCCACTTTTCTTGGGGCCCATTGAATTTTATTGTGCGCTCAAATTGTTTTGGTATTCAAGCTTAAAGCACGCGACTGCTTCTATGCCTGTGGTTGGTCCTGCTCCCGCTGCTCCTTCTGCTCCTTGTGCTGCTACTGCTCCTTCCGTTCATTTTTTTGTTCTTTGTTGCTGCTGCAGGTCCTGCGATTGTGCTCGTGTGCTGGTGTGCGTGCGATGTTTTCCTCCTCGGCGATGTTCTCCTGCCTTCCAGCGTATCCTGTTGCTTGCGAAAACGCAACCAGTTGAACATTTCCAGCAGGACTCTCTGGGCCTCGGCTCCGTTCGGCTTTCAATGTCGTCCTCTGGCTCTCTCTCTCCCGCTCTCTCGGCGAAAGGCTTTCTCTCTCCGTGTAATTCGGCTGTTGCTTGGCACATGTTTAACGCGCAATTATTTTGGTCCTGTTGCGCTTTTTCCACCGACTGTGTGCGAGTATGGGTGGCTCGCTTAGTTTGTATTCAGACAAAGTCAACTCCAAGTTGCTAAAATAACGTAATTAATTCTGTTATTCAGCACTCACAAATACACTTAATTTGAGATTTTATATTCATTGTTAAACAGTTTTTAATTTTAATTTTTTTTATATTTAAGACATCATGAACTTTATTTACTATTTAAAATGTTATTATCATAGGTGAATTGTATAATTTCAAAAGTCTATTTATCATTGCTCATTTAACTTCTTTTTTTTGTGATTAATTTTTAGTTTACCACATGCCAAAGATACATTTTCATATAACAAACTTAAGTATGCTGAGTTCAATTTAAAAAATGTTCTAAAATTTTATTAAAGTGCTATGATTCTTCTTTTTACGTAACTCATCAGGAAAGTTGGCTTTATAGTACCCAATTAAAAAAACTCGAAATGTTCTCCTATTTATTTATTTCTATATGTTCATACAATTTCTTTAGCTAAATTAATTTTTCAATTTTGTTTTATACATTTCGAATACCCTTAAATAGGAGCCTTGAATTTCTGATACAAAATATTTATTGTATTATTTATTTATTTGCTAAGAATTATAAAATGTATTTTTTTTAAATGTTATATTATATTATAACCGACTCTAATACGTTTTCTAGCTATCCCAAAGTACATAAACTCTTAAATAATTTAGTGTAAGAAATTAGTCTCTAAGTCCTAGATATCTCTCCTTAAAAAACCCCAAATATCCTTATAAACAGCTCGCTTTCCCCGCAATCTCCATCTCCATCTTCATCGTCATCTTCATCGACATCAACATGATGATGGCCATCAGCATCATGGCATTGGCATCGGCTGGGCATGCAACAATTATGGAAACTCTCCACTCGGGTACGCTTGTCCGCTCGTGTAGACCCAGAATCGGGATGTGGATGTGGATGTGGATGTGGATGGTGGTACTCGGCGTGGAGAGCGCGCACCTTATGTAGCCAGTGCGTGGGCGTAAGGGGGCGGGGCATGTGCGAAAAAGCGACGTTCGCAGCTGGCTGCATCCGCATCCAGGGAAATCGCTTAGCTGTTGCTTTCGTGCGACGACTTCGCAAGGTGGAAATTGATATTACTTTTTAATGCTGGGCCAGCTGCTGGCAGGACTTCCAGTGCGCGACAGGGAGGGGTGTATGCCGAGGAGCGGCAGTGCGACAGAGAGAGAGAGAGAGAGCGTGAGAGTGAGAAAGGGACGCAGTGAGAGCGCCTCGCCGAAGGACCAAAACCGCCAGCCTCGTCACAGTTCGAGTTGAGCCGTCTCGCGAGCAGGACACCAAACGCGGAGGCTGACATATCCTGTGGCCAGGACTTTGGGGAACCAGGAACCCAGGCTTTAGAACCCATAGCTTTTCTAACTTTCCCGGCCAAGGTGTGCGTGTGCGCGAGTGTGGGTATCCTGGCCGCCTCGCTGTGTGTGTGTGTGCGTGTGTGTGTCGGTGTGTTGGCCAACACCAAACAAAAGCCAAAATAAGTGACGAATAAATTTAAATCCGCGCGCCTAACACACGCTACCTGAGAATATACATTTTTAACCCACTAAATACTACTCAAAATTTGAAAGCAACAAATATTTTGAATCCAGGTGAGTTAAATCAGTGTTGTGCCAAAATTCGCTGCCATGAAAGGACTCGCGTGGCAGGCTAGCAAATAGTTTAATTTCCGGTCTGGCCATCAGGCGCACATCCGGTTTCAGTTTTATTTCCGTCTGTGCTCACTGCTCAGTCACATGTGCAAAATATTGGCTGTCGAGTCTTAAATTAATTTCCCATAAATAAGAACAAGTTTTAAATTCGAAATAAAGTATTGAGATTTTCAAATATATTCTTTAAGATTCTAAGAAGGTAGTCAAGGTCTAACGTTAGCTTGCATTTACTAAGACTAGTTGGGAATTATAGTCATCTGTATAATTAATTGTTTACAGATAATGTTAATGCAAATGTTAATAATATTGCCTTATCAACGCCTTTCTCTTAAATCCCTGTTTGAATTAAAAAAAAAAATCTTCTCAAGTTACATAAAAACATAAAAATACCATTACTCAAAAGCTATTGATTTTTGGTCCCCCCAACTAATTCCGAATGTATTAACCAGGCTTATGTCTTAGCCCTTGGGGTCTTAGAGAAAAGACGGCGGAGCAACACCTCGCAGGCTGCGAAATAAAACAACTTAATGAAGCAAGAAATTGAAAACATTATCAAGGCGATTAATTATTGATACTTTGATGTTTCTGGCCCCCGTCTAATTAATTTATAATTAAGTTAAGGATTTGCCCGGGCCCTTCTCGGATTTCCCGAGCTCCGGCTTTAAGTTCCAGGATAAGGAGCAACTTTAAGCTGTCTTCGGCACCTGGTTCAGTTCGATTCGCTGCGATTGAGACTTTATGGACGTGACCCGCCTGCCGTATCGATGGCAATCAGTTTGAGTTTGGTATGGGGACTGGCTAATGCCTCCTCTTGGCCAGCCAACTGTCATTACTCTTGGCCCTAATCCCTGCCAAAGTTTGTGCCGCTCCACGCGAAGGGCTCTAAAACCCAGAGCTGCAAAACCCAAGCACTTTCACCTGCCTTTGCGCGTCTGGTCGAAGTCTGCCCCAAAGTGCTTTTATTATGCCATTTTAATTTAGATTCCTATCAATCAGTAATAAGCATTATGTGCACCGCCACAGACAAAACAAAAGCGTAAAAAACGAAAAGATATTAGCCATTAAGGTCAGAGGCATTAGCCTGATATCCGCTTGATTTTTATTACGAAAACTTAATTTTATCGGGTTTTACCACTGAGTGGACAACGAAAAGATTGGCTTTAAAAATTAAATATTACTCAAGCTTTAGGAGCAATAGAGAGCTGTTCACATATTTACCCAACATACGATTATTATATTCTTATCTTGCCACTGAAAGTCATTGATGTATCAATTAATGTTTCTTAATTTTATTTAAATTTTTTTCATTTGAAGTTTTTAATTCAATGCAATTTTGGTTTAATTTTCATCTACTCGTAGTTGTGACAGCAAATATTTTACTTCAGGCTTTTGTCAATGAATGAAAGTGCCATAATTGATTTACAAAAATGTAATTAAATTTAATGTTGGTAATTGCAGAAAATTGTTTTTCCATTGGTGGTTAGAGATAATTTATCTTGAAAATGTACGATTTTAGGATTTTATAACTGAATTAGAATAAACATTTATTATAAAATACATTTTAATGGCCAATAAATTGATTTCCCAACGTGGGCTATAATTTAGTTCAATAACTTGACAGTAATATACAATAGCTGATTTATATTTATAAAAAATATTAATTAAATAAATGTTTACCGCTAAATAATGCGCCAATATTTGGTCCTTTATTTTGGGCTACAAGTAACTGCAATATTTAAAAAAGTAAATACCCCTGAGCAATTATTTATAACTCATATTCCAGACAGTAAAAAAATGGTTTGCAGGTCGAAAGTCAATCCCATATTTTACAAATTCATTTGATTGTTTTTACAAGAATCACAATTTGTATTGATGTTGCCTACTGTTTTCACGGCCAACGTTTTTATGTCTATCGAAAGGAGTAAACAAAGTTGTTTAGTTTTCCTGTTTTGAGCGGATATGCAAATCAAGCGGCAAAACTCATTTCGGATTCCACACAAAATAGGCAACAACAAGAAAAGGGAAAAGTTGGCAAGAACAACAAATAGTGGGGAAAAACTGGAGAAAAAAGAAAACTCATTCGGATCGTTTGCATAAATTTGCGTCTTATTTTGTTGGCAATTTATATGCGCAGCCGGGTGACACACGCGTTTTAATTGAAAGCAAATAAAAGACTCCATAATACATAATATGACAAGCCATAATCCTGACAGCAACAGTTATGCATGCTGACAGCTCGCAGCTCGCAGCGGAAAATGGGGCGGGAAAGTCCGGAAAATGGACAGCAGGCAAATGCTGACAGGCTGGCCATCCCTACGAACTTAATGGCATTTTAAACCACTGAACGATGGCCAGTTTTCCCCGCATGCCTGTCCAAATGTATTCATTAATGTCGCCTCCAAAGTCAAAGTGTTTAAAATGTTGAACACGCTCGGTGAAATATCCTTCATATCCTTTGCCCACCCCACAACACAAAACACACAACACACACACACACATACACAAAAGGATTAAGGTCCTCCTTTTTTGGGCCCTGCTTAGCCGCCTTTGGCTTATTCTGGTTGCGCTTTAATCAAAAGCAAAAATTAATTAACTTTATTCCGAGGACTCCCGTTGGCTCATCTCTTTCGCCGCGTGTGTAGTGAATAATGAACGACTCCCGGATTGCGAGATGCAAAATACCAAATTGCCGCTTCATTTGCACAACAATTTTTAATAAAGCAGCAGCAAAGTGAGCGAATTTTTTTTTCGTCCGCGGCTTTTTGCCGGGTTTTCCGGACGCAAACAAGCAGAGGGCCGAAAAAAAAAACTCCGGGCCAAAGATAAAAAACGCGTAAACAAATAACCAACATAAGCCGCATAAAGTGAATGATGCTGGCCACAGGCGCAAATATTTATTTTACATTTTTAAATAAGTCGCTCACATTTGTTGTATTTGTTTTTTATGCTGACAACCCATTTTATATTCATATACAGAAAAACTGAGGGAGAGACATTTTAAACTTTATATTGATAAGATTCCTATCTGTTTGAATATATAAATTCACTAATTAACTGTTTACAAAAGAAAAGTTGTTGATTCAAATTAATAATGATAAACGCTTATTGACTGTCCAATATAGAAATATAAGTCAATATTTACTTAACCTTTTAAAATAGTCCTCTGGCATTTAGTATATGTATCTTGTTTGTTTTTGCTTTTTCTACTTTTATTTATCTTATACCTTATTTTGTAAACATCTTAAAGTTCAATCATTTTTTTCGCTTCTCTGAAATCTTTTAGTTCTTAGTCCTTTAATATCTAATTGTTTTCTGTGCACAGGAAAATGGATTGCTGGCAGTGGGGAATGTAATTAATTGAATTTCGTTGGCATGTCCACTCATCACGGAAGTCAGAAGGACTTCCAGTTTTTGCTCCCTTTTCGTTTGTTACGCATGCAAAAATGTGCAAAGTGCAGGTTTATGCAAAAAATCAAAGGGTTCTAAGTGGAAGGCGTAGATGGAAAACTCCCATCCCCCATCCCCCTCTTCCTCACATTTTCACATTTTCCAGTTTTTCACCCACACAGGATGCTGCCATGCATTCGCAATCGCTCCGCTCACTTGTCGTTTGCACACTCCTCTATTTACTTTCTGCGGCTCGACGAATTCTCAATTAAAATGTTTACCCACAGTTCTGGAGCAGCTCTTGTTCACTGGTAATTTGCATATGTGGATGCGTGACTCTTTCCCGAAATACAATTTCTCGTTGAGGCCCCATAAAAAGCAACTATCCAACGGGGTAAAAAAAGTGGTTGGCTGGCAGAAATAAATTACACTTTTTCGCTTGTTTGTAATCCTGAAAATGTTGAATTATTCCAGGGAAATAAAGTGAACTTTGACTGAATTAAAGTCAGCTTTGAAGTAAATTACTTTCATGTCTTGCAGCTTTAATAGGATTTCGAATTTTTGGACAAACACAGAGAGTAAATTGAATTGAAGTACGAGTTAGGTAAAGAGGATTCGAGATTTCAGACACCTCAATCACTTTCAAACTATTAGGAAAATAAATAAATTGCCAGTTAAAAACTCTAGAAAGAATGAACTTCTTTCTTAGCCAATAAAATTTTGATTTAGTTTACAGTAAAATGATTTTTAAATATATATTTTTATTCAGATTAAAGTCGTCTTCAGCAAGATTTCTTTTTAAAAGAGCTTAAAGTCTCCAAACAAATATTTTTTCTTTTCACATTAAAGGCACATGAATAATTTTGTTTTAAAACAAATAATTTTTCTGTTAAAAAACATAGATTTAGAAAGTAAAGAAACACAATTAGTTCGTTACCAAGAAATAATTTACCTTTCTCTTCCGCCAAGACATTACTTTAGTTGACAGTCTAATTTAGATAATTCTCCTTGGGAGCTTACGAAGTCCAAAGGGATCTGGCCCACTTGTCTTAACTTGGCCAAATCGCCGCAGCAGCGACAGTGACAAAATGCTACAAATTTTACAATTTCCTTGTGCCATTTAAAGTCTCATTCTGGATCTCCGTTGGCCGCCGGCTGTTGGCATTGCCATTACCTTAACGCGGACTATCCTTAATATCCGGGTGAAACACAAAGGGGGGAGGGAGGGGGTACTAGGGAATAGGAATAGGGATATATGGGATACCCAGGCAGACAGTGACAGAAGGTGGATAACCAATGTTGGCGAAATGTTGCCTGGCCGCGCTCTGTTTACATTTTGTTAAACGCGACCCTGACCCGCGTCCAACTCAGCCCGAGCTGTCCTTGTCGTCCTACTCCTCCACCTCCTCCTCCTCCTTCTTTTCCTCCTCCCAGCTCATCCAGGTCCTTTCCCAGTCCTTGGCCATAACGTGTAATCGCTCAAAGCAGCTGATAATGGCTCTACTGGCTGCTGACGCCAGCCCAATCCTCCTCCCAGTTTAACTACACTTGAA